GAGGAGAAGCATGGCCCTTCCGGGAGCCATGCTCGGTCCACGGGGGAACGATGCGCTATTTAGATAAGCCACTCTGCTAAGCTGCAACCGGCTATGGTGACAGGCAACTAACTCGAGCCGACACCGGAGTCGATGGTCCTCCATGGTTTTCGCGCAATTAACTTGCAAATAATATTTCAAGATGGTCGATACTTTCAATAGCAGAAATGACGCAAGACGCCGTACGTACTATACCTGGCGAGTGTTTGAAACTACTCTTGAAAATACTTTCACGTAAGAGGGTTCTATTTTTCAAACAGAAAAAAGATTTCAAGTATTTGTCAGGGGCGGTTGAAGGAGATATCGCCGTGGCCGTGTAAACATAGTCATTAAGAAAATTGAGTTCGTTTTTGGAAGAAAAAAAGAAGCGATGGGCATTAATAAGCTAATTTCTCTCCCCGTTAGTCAGACTGCGAGCAAATGAACTTTCAACGTAATAACGCAAAAGGCTATTTTATCATTAACAAATATTTAACTATACCCCGAAGACAACGGCAATTTCATCAAGCCGGGGATTCTTCGTAAATGAAGCTATTAATGCACCTCCTCGAAACCTCCAGGAAACTTTATGGAAAGACTTGGTTCGGCTTTATGCAGTCTGAAATCCGACAAACAGTCCAACTACGGTTAAACAAACTCGAGGAAGATCCGATGTTGTACGCGGGGTCTACGATGGGATAGTTAAAGTACAGATACACAGAAAATATTACGCTATATATACTTTCTCAAACTCTCTTCCGTAATTAAGAAACTCCGCGTTTCGGCAATCAGTCGATAGGCAATTCGAATTTTTGTTTTTCGCCAACAACGAATTTAGCCCGGAACTTTGCTCGGAATGTTGCCAGTTTAGAAACTAACCTAAGTAAAGTACTTGTGCCAAGTGTGCCAGAAATTCGCCATGCTAATTTTTCGGGCGTGGCGTGGTACGAACATTTCTTTTTCAAGCACGACATCTATTTAGCCAATTTTCTAAAAATTCTGCACGGATTAGCATCTTAACCGACACTGGGAGTAAACTGATTTTCACAAGGACGTAGATACTCGCGCGGTAATTTTCTCGCGAGAACGTTGCGAACATTCGTTTGCCGCGCCGCTTTGCGAATTCGTTAATTAAATTCGAAGCCACGCGCTATTACCTCGCGTATACACGATCGCGAAATAAAAATTAAACGGCATTTAACCAGAGCTCTCGTAGCGGCAGCTGGAAGGAACTAACGTTTTTTTTTTTTTTTTTTTTTTTTTAACCTAATTAAAAAGCACGCGAAACAAAACTACGCGCGCGAGGTTTCAAAAATCTCAATTAAATTCTCACACCCGACTTTCAGCCGACAAAGCGGGCCAAACAAACAAACACGGCGGAGGATGCGCAGGACTTGCGAGCATTCTCGGTAAAAACAGCCGGAAAGTCACGTCACCGTCGTAACACCCCTTTTTTCTGTGTCCGTGTGCAAACCATCGCGAAAATATTTCTCTCGTTACTAGAAAACTTCGTTCGCTGCGAAAAAAAAAAAAAAAAAAAAAAAAAAAGAAGAAGAAGAGTTGCACCGGCCACGCTCGAAAACGTCGGCCGTTTGTTATTTGACATTTTAATGAAAAATACGCGGCGAGAATTTAATTAACTCTTAGTCGGTAATGAAGAAAGAAGGCACCACACCACACCAGCCCGGATTATGCATTTAATCTCGTTCCAACTCGGCAGAGTCGCCTCATTTCTTCTTCTTTTCTCTCACTTACTCACTCTCTCTCTCTCTCTCTCTCTCTCACTCTTTCCCTTTTCTCTTTTCTTCTTTTTGTCATATCTCTCGCTGCGATTCTCTTTTGTTTGCAACGTGTCTGTGAAAACGTAACCGCCTGACGCCTCGCCACCTGTCCGCGAGCCAACGCAGTGTTTTCACGCTTAAAACACGCCGAATTTTCTCTCTTTCTCGTCCTTTTTCACGTGACGACGCGCGTGAAAGTCGCGCTTTAGACACGGGCCATCTCTGATACAAACTGATACAACGCGAGTCGAGAAAGAGGACGAACGTTTTTCGTTCGAAACTCATATCGCGCCGTCGACGAACAGTAACTCTTGTATCATCTGCAAGCAATTTATTTACGAAATAGTGTTGCCAAGTATCACATCAAATAAAATGATACAGCATTGGAAATAATCGTCCCGTTTAAATAATTAAATTTAGCGTGAAGTTTGATTGATTGTACGTTCTCTAATATGTGACTTTGTTTAAAGCAATCACCGAGTATAGTCTAGTAAAAGTTAACGATACGTAACGTTAATCTCCTGAAAAATCCTCTTCGCCGTTTCATAAACTTTTGAAACAAAAAGTTTAGTTTATGTGAATTATACGAATAATAATAATTCGATGATAACGAGCGTCAACTGTCTTCAAGAATTTCTTCTTTTGAAATTTTTATTATTCCTCTTAGATACGTCGTTATATGATATTATGTTATGCAACACCGTACGTTCATTATAGTTACCAACAATTATAAAAAAATTTTAGCTGAACTGAAGTACGATGTTCTCTTACAGAGTTATATTGAATAAAACGGCTCGGAATTCATTTAGTACAAAGCAACCTATACGTAATTTTTCCGAGAATGCACCGACAAGAAAATACGACTATATTTGTCAGGTATATCCAATCGAATACAAATTTCGCTAATTGAGACAAAGTGATGAAATATTTTGCGAATCTCGCGAAGTTTCACATTTATCCCATAAATATTTCACTTCTCCCATAAATATTTCAGACGCGACGGACAAAAACTAGGAGGGGAGAAGCTCCTAAAGAGGAGGAAACAAGAGACACTGAAAAGAAACGGTAACAAATCGGTAAGCTTCATTTACGGAAACGAGCGAGCAGAGACAACGCGTAAAAAACTTGATAAAGACACGAGAGCCACGCGAAACGAGAAGAAAACGACGAATGAAAGAAGAGAATAGAGACATCGCGAGCTGCAAAAAAGAGAAAAACAGTCGCACTCGCGAAAAAAATCTCACGTTTTTCCCCCTTTTTTTCTTCTGCGCGCATCTTTTGACATTGCACGTAATGAAATTACACGCCGACGAGGTAAGTAAATGAAAACTGACGCTTGTCACGGAGACTCACGGTTAAATTCTCGCCTGTTCGCTTGTGCAAACGAATATTAGACGTGGCGTTCATTCGCGGCAGAAATATCCGACTGGTCGAAAATTGTCGACTGGCTGGCGTGAAGAATGTCAAGAAATTGTCCGGGAATATACTTTATGAACGAGCGTGGTCTCAGAGAGATCTCGTTCTTTGACAGATACTTGAAAATTTACGATCCGTTTCGAAAACAGAATTCAGATTCAGGAGAGAGAGGAAACTCGCAGTATTTAAATTACGAAGTGTCGCAAACATTTTGAAAAAAAAAAAAAAAAAAATGTACACCTTCCGTCAGATTACGTTTCTATAGGCAACAAGAAAAAGAAAGACGAAAGTATCTTTAAGCACGCGACGTGGATGAATTGAAAATGGCGGCAGTAGCCGCTCTATTCCTATTCTGAAACCTGCAAACACGCTCCGCTCGAACATTCTCATTGTCGCTGTCCGGCCATCAGAAATTTCCCATCAAACCCGCATTTACACCTCCAATCTGAGAGGCAGAATCCTTTAATAGTCCCGACTCTCTTTCTCTCTCTCCCTCTTTCTTTCTCTCTCTGCTCGAAGGAGAAAAACCCGATTTCGCCGATGAAATCGGCCCTCCGCCTCCGACCGCGATTGCTCTCCCCTTTGTTCCCGACTGAATGGTAGGCTCGATATCAATTGAAACGTTCCAGAGGAAACGACTCCATCGGCTCGACCAACAGAAAATTTTTAATGAAAGTCGCCAGAGGTAGAAATGGAAAAGAAACGAGAGAGAGAGACAGAGAGAACGCGGGAAAAGAAGAGAAAGAGGAAGAGGTGGCGAAACTGGTGGATTCGTTGGAGAAAAGAAAAAAGAGAGAGAGAGAGAGAGAGAGAGAGAGAGAGAGAGAGAGGAAAGAAAGGTGGTGGTGATGGCAGAGGGTAAGCGAGCCAGGGTAATCTCTGACATCTTGTTACAGCTCGGCATAAGAAAGAGGAAGCCGAGGGAATGGAGGGCTGCCGAGACCTCTTCGCGGCTGCGTTCAATTAAAGCGTCACCTCGCGGAGCAAACTTTTATATGAATAGTTTTCATTAGATCGCCGACTTATTAAAAGCCATCGTCTCTCGCGCGCGCGCGGGCATTAATATCCCTCGGCCAGACGAGTTTTGTTATCAGGACGTCAGCCGTTCAACGAAGGTTGCCTCGCAGGACGATTCTATCAGAGCCGTTGCTTCACCCGATTACGCGCGAATTAACGAACCGATTGTTAGACTCGTCGAAGCGGCAGAGATCGTAAATGGTTAGTAAGTAACTGGATATTAACACGATCCGTGCCACGCCGATAGTTGGTTACTTTCCATTCAGACCGCGTAACATTATTACGATTAATAATTCTGCTTCTGAAGTGTGTATTGTAAGTTTTATAACGGCGGAATAATTATAATTATCAAGAAAAGTGTCTAGAGTTTAAGATAACAGCGTTACAGAACGAAGCGACAAATGTAATTTCGAGCTATTACTTTGATAAATAATTTTTTGAACGATGTCAAAGTTAATTTAAAATGAAACACTTTGTTTCAAATATTTCTACTATTATTTGTCTATGTACTAAATAATAAATAAATAATATTAAATGATAATAAGTAATTTGACGTTGTTTTAACCTTTTAACGTTAATTTTATAACGTCATCTTTGAATTGAGTTGAGCTTAACATGAATTTATAACAAATTTCTTAAAAATTCCTCGTTTCGCAGTGAAAATTCCAAATGGCTTGAACGGAAAGTTACGCCCCACGTGGCACAGAACTTATTAACAAGGGTAATCGTCGACGTGCGATTTTTGATTTTGAATCCAAATTCACTTACCGATGCTTCTTATCGGGATCCACGCAGAGATGTTGTTGTCTCGCAAACTGACGTTCAACCTGAAACACCAAAAGGACAAGATTCTGTGTTAAAACGATGCTCGTGCAGTAAAAAGAAGGAAAGGGTTGCAGAAAATCGATAACACGTGAGTGAACGTACGCTGAAAGAAACTTGCAGACAATGATAAATACAACAACGAGATAGAAATGCGAAGCTATGTATAACAACCGGCGGAAAGAACCGCTTAGATTCCTAAATAAAACGTTCTTGTCCGCGCCGTGCAGCGCGATAAAATCGCAAAACGTTGTTTCGTTTTTGAAAGATCCGAACGGTCATAAATTATCACAGATAAAATATCTGTCGGCGGGATACGCAGCAATGTCCTGCACTCTCGCAAGCGTGCGCGTTTAATCTTGGTTGGCGATCGTTTACGCTACGCACGGACATTTCCTTACTTCCCCGTTCCAATAATTCCTAGACGCAAAAGGACTGTACAGAAACACGCGCGTGCAACGCAAATTTTGTAGCAGGGAAAGCGGGCGATAAGTCAACGAACGAGGTTACAACACGCCAAGTGCGCCTATGTCTCTGTTCAGCCTCGATTCGTCGAAAGAAAAACGGCAATCAGCGAGAAATAAGGCGCACAGCCGGTCCACGCGACCGGCTAGCCTCGATCGCGAGAGAGCAGCAACCTTAACGCGACGTTAACGCGACGCGGATTAATTTTTAAGCGTATAAATAACTGTCGCGCTGGCGGAAAAGCGACTTTAGGTTGAACAATGGTGGCTGCTGCTGCTGCTGCTCAGCTCCCGGAAAAGAGGCTTTTGAATCCGGCGTACGGATATTAAACGTCGTCGTCGTCGTCGTTGGTCGACGAAGCCCGTGAAAACCCGAAACTCTGACCCAACGGCGTAAAAGCCACGATAAAGGGTGAAAGGGGGAGGGGTGAACGGAGAAAGAGGGTGTAAGTAAGTACGTCTACGGGAATTATGGCCGCGCGGAAGCAATTCCCGTCTAGCAACGGGTACTGGCCTTCTTGATTTCGTCGTGTTTCTACCCGTTTCTTCGCGCGTGTAATGATGAATTGCAACTGTGAAATGCGCTATCCCCTGCCGACGCCCACTACCCGTGTGAAATACACGCCGCTTCAAATACACTCGTAATTTCACGCTGCACTGGCCGAAGAAAGTGCTAGTGAAGAAAGTCGCGGGATGGATCTTCGACGCTTGAATTTTGAGTAACTGGCCGATATTAGGACGATTACATTACAACGACGTAAATTGCAAAGTATAGATGCTACCTACGTACACTGTTTCTCGAATCCCACCTTGTGAAAATTGAATGTGAACAAGTTTACGAAATAGATGATCGATTTGTTGATCGATTTGACTTTTGAAACTTTCGGGCACACGCTCAACTTCATTTTAGATTCATTTTTATAATCGAAAACCCTTCGTAGCGAAGAAGTAGCACCGTATTGAAGAAGCGAGTCCGTGTTCCTCAGTGTATTTGTGATACCGTGACCGGTGCATTTCGTTCGTTCGGCATCGGAACAAGATGAAACCTAGAACCGTTCTCCTTTCTCCATTGCGTTGCTAACGCTCAAAGCTTGTCGAGATGCACCGTGTCAGTGTAACGCGAGAAATATGTAAATTGGTAAATAGAAGGGAGGCAATAAGTTGGAAAGTGAAGGTGAATCGTGAACGGGAGTTGGCGCGACGAGACGAAGGGAAACGCTAATTACAACGTGTCATGGTTTCTAATGACCGTGCAAATCTCGCTGTTCATCGGGACTGATCATTTATCCTCATTCAGAGTCACACATGAACGTGAATTATCAGTTGCCCAGTCTTTCTTCCTCGTTGTCGTGTAGAAAACGAAGGTTGGATATCGATGACGAATATTTTTGTTCATTTACTGAAAAACAAAGGTTTTTTTTCGTCGAATGTGTGTCAAAATTCTGCGGTGTGTCGAACGATGCGAAATATTTGTTTTCGCACTCTGCGGGTGTGAAATAAATTATTCGCAACATTACGAGTCCGCTCGTAAAAATTTGAGATCGGTTAACCTGCAATTTCGCACCGAGTTTCATTTCCAAAGCTGCAGAATTGTTTGCCGCGACTCCGTTTCAGCGAAATTAATATCTCGACTAATGTCGTTTTCAAAATTAAATTAACGAGGCAAACAAACGCGAAGTAAATTTTTACGCGCTGTGCTTCGTTTAAGTGACGTGGGTCGACAGCGGGATCGGCAGAAACAGTTGCGTAGAATCTTTAACAAAATGGAAACGGGAAACGACCGAGAGATGTTAAAAAGAGAGAAAGAAAGAAAAAAAAAAAAAAGAAATCACGCCTTCCAGCAAAATACTCTTTGGAAGAGGCTTAAAAAAACCGAAGACTCGGAAACCGAGACGTCTCGCGCTGTTTTCCAACTTTTCTCCCGACGATTCCCAAAGTTTCCTTTCCCCGAGAGCTTTCAAGAAAGACCAACGCTGAAGAACGATAAGAAAGGACCAGAGAAGGAAAAGAAAAACAGAGGAGAAGAACGGGGTAGACCCGGATTTAGCGAGCAACGATTGCATCTGTAGGCAATAGTTCGTTAATGCGAGCAAGAACAGTGGCGGAGGAAACAGCAAGAAAATGGTTGTTAGAGGGACGATAGCTTCTTAAAACGTCGTGTGACACGATGCTTGTTCGAGGATAAAACGATCCGGCCTTTGAAATTGTTACGAGCATCTGTCGCCACTGATTTACTCATACGTATCACATTTTTACCGACATGTTTCTTTTGCACGTGCCGAGAACATGCGCGTGAAATTTCAAAGGGGAACAATGAGGCTTTGCGCACACGCGCCGGATAAGCCACGTGAAATTAAAACTGTGCTCGTTTCCCGTTACAATTTAGTCGGCAAAGGCATTACGTCGTCTCTCTATGCTACAGCGTCGCCTGTTAAACGCACGTTGAATTGCCGTGAAACGGAGATGTAAAAGCAAATTTGTCAGATCTTGCGGAAATTCCGGTGCTCCACGGCGGAGATGCGGGTCCACGGCGCAAAAAATTTTGGTACAGACCGAGAAACAACGGAGAATTTATAGGGAAGAGGATTTACGATCATGTTGAATTTCGTGTCGATCTTGAAATTCTCCACAAAACGCGCGCGCGTGCTTTTGTTAAAATTCTGCTGCGAATCAATTGTTCAATGCCTTTCTTATTCTCCATTTAAAATTTTCTATTCTCTGTTTTCTGGTCACGGGAAACATTTTTTTCTTTTTTAATTAAACGCAGCATCCAAATCCATAACAGCTACAGTTTGTGCAATCACGAACGACCCAGTGTTTCGACCAACAATTCCGATTAAACATCGAAAAATAAAGAAAAAAGAGAACAAAGAGCGGCAGGGAGAAAAAAAAGAACAGATGAAAAGAGAGGATTTAAAAAAGAAAGAGCGAAGAGAAAAATAACAGGGGCAGGGGAAAAAATGGGTTGTCGAAAATAAGTCGGATCCCGCGGCATCGCGGTGCCACGTGGTTATTTGTCAATTTCTCCCCCGTTCTCTATAGTCCCTCTCTTTTTTTTTTAAGCCTGAACGCCCCTCACTCTTCCTTTCAATCTGATACACCGTAATTCTCTTTTGCCCCGTAGGTGGTGGCCGCGCGTTTCAAAAGCGAATTTCGCGGAGCGTGGTAGTGTTTCGAACAACGTGATCCTAGCAATTTGTCGCTGCGTCGCGATGCATTCATCGCCGCGAATCAAACCGATTAACAGCGAAACTGACGGACGTTGGATCCGATGGCCGATCCTCCATCGATTTTGCTACAACCGTGCAGAGAGCTCTTTCCATCCAGAGGAGATTTTAGTGAAATTTCGACGGAGAGATTCGTACGTTGAAAAAAGCACGGGTGAAATATAAGATTTGAACGAAAGTCGTTCATAGTTTCAAAAGAAAAAAAAAAAAAAAAAAAGAAACGCTGCCGATTTTTTTTTTCAGCCGCGACCATACCTATCGACCTTTTCCAAAGGATTTGGAAAAATATTTAAACGCAAGAGAACCAAAAAATTCGCTACAAACGTTTGAACTCACTTGTCGAAAGAAACTCCTCGAGCGAGTGAGAGAGGAGATCGACCGTGAAAAAATCCGTTTTATGCTCTTTCCAAGCGATTTCGCTAATACTGTTTGCAAGTTCATCGGTACCACGCTCGATGGAGAAATCGTGATTGCGACTTTTCGAGGACGGGAGGTGAGTAAGCAAAAAGGAAGTCCGTACGGTATGTACGAACAAATTGGAATTATTTTTTCGCGGTTGCGAGCGATGGTTTGGGTCCCGATTTCACGGGTATTTGACGGATTTCGCTGCAAGGCAATACATCAGCTGGATATCCTCGATGAAACGTGTTTGCAGAGGTTTGGAAAGTTAGAGATCGCGTTTATGTTTTTCAAACAAACGCAATTCAGAATAAAAAGAAAACTCTACACATTTCTAAACGATATTTAAGACTAATAGATTTCTAAAGCGCCTAGCGTTTATACTACTCTCCAGAAAAAACAACTCCAATAATTATCTCGAGGAACGTATTCATACCTACAATTACACATTCTCTTTCTCTCTCTCCCCCTCTGTCTTTGCGTAATTATTGCGCTATCTCTTACGCTTACTCATCCACGTGACTCAAATCGTTAAATTCTGCTTGCAAATTGCACAACAGAGACCTCTCGTTCATTGACATTTACGCTTAATTGACAGGCAAGGCAATTTTTCCTAATCGTCCCGATCGTAGAAAAGAAGAAGAGTAAGTCTGAAACGAATGCTTTTCTTGGAATCGGAATTAAAATTACACGTTCAAACGCGATCGAAAATGCATTTCGAAACAGGCAGCGAAAGAGCGAAAGGGCAAACCAACGAATCACTTGATCGCAACTCGAACGTGAATCGTCCACTTTTTTGACGATTCATTCCAACCGCGTTATTAACATCCAACATCTGAGTTGTTTGGATCAAAGGATGCCGCCAACGTGATTTTCGTAGAACAACTTGGATACATTAACCGCCATCTCACCTCG